AATTTTGTGAGGAAACTTCCTAAGCATAAATTTATGACCGATTAGCTAAGGGGTGTCCAGACTGTGGCTCGGACCTACAACCCTCAGATTTAAAATCCAACGCTCTACCGACTGAGCTACAGGTTTGTGCTAAAAGGAGCGTGGCCTCATCAATTACAACACATAGCCACTTTTAACTCTGTTACAAATTATTTTGGGTCATTATCATGAAAGTCAAAAGAAATTTTGGTCAAAACATTGATACACTGTAAGATAACCCATACATACCATCATAGTCAGGTTCCTTGGGTTTGAAATCCAGATAGTTAATGGTGGCTTTTTCAATCTGAACTTTACCCACAGTCTTTGTCAACTGTAAAATATGTAATTTTCATAGTAATTAATGTGAAAAGTAAACACCTTACACAAATCAGCATGTAAAATCAAAATGAAAAAACTATACCATCTGACAGTATATACACTGAGCAAAATCCGTCAGTAAACTGATGTTTGTATTTTTTTCACTATTTTACACACATATTTTACTGAGCACTGACTCACCTCCTCCATGGCAGAAGGATCCAGGCATTCTCCATCATCATTAAACATTGTATCCCAATCTCCATCATCTTCATCAGCTTCCTTATCTGAGTTATCCCCCTTTGGCACAATTTCTACAACATTATTAATCATCAATATTGAAATGCATGATTCATTACAAAAGGGCAAAAATTGTGAACATCCTTTTAGAACAACATCATCATACATGTACATGTAGAATCTTTTATCATTATATATGAATATTTGAATATTAAAAAAGTTCAATATGAGTAAATAACATGCCCCAGACATAACACATATTATGAACTCACCTTCTGCATCCACTTCAGGTACCAATTTCTCTTTAACCTCTACTTTCTTTTCCTCTCTCTTATCTTCCTTCAACTCATGCATATTCATCATATCAAACACAGTTATGTTTGTCCTAGTGGACTTCTTCTTGCCTTTCTTCTCTACAGAAGGTGTCTCCTCTTCTACCTTAGTTTCACCTGATGTCTTACTTTTCTTCTTCATCTTCTTCAGTTTAATTTTCTTCACTTCAGTTTTACCCTCACTTTCTTGTGCCTTCACCTTTCTTTCATTATTATCTTCATCTTGATTTTCCCTTTTTTGCTCACTGGTGTTCTTTGATCCTACATTTTCATTTATTTCCTCCACGTCATCATCCCAGTTCAATGGAATGTCATCTTCCCCATCATCCACATTACCATCTTGAGTATTGGTCTCCATTAGTGTTGCTCCCTCTTCCTTCTCTAATACATTCTGTACATTACTTTCACTTTCAGCCATATTTACATTTTCTCCTATTTTCTCTTTTAAAGTTTCTCCATCACATTCAATCCTCTTATCTTGGTCTAAATTGTAATTGAAATCTTTCTCTTCTTCTACTTTCACATCCATACATTCCTCCTCTCCTCTGCTTTCACTTATATCACAGTTGCTATGAGATTGTACATCTATCTGACTTATTTCTTTATTCTCTTTTTGTGTCCCTTTAGAGCTATCCATACTTTCATGTTCTACAAACACACAATTATTCACCATTCTATTGTCAAGGAAATGTTCTATGCTTTCTTTAGAGGGAATATCTACTTGTTCCAAAGATACGGTTGTTTCAGTAGCACTAACATTAGAAACTTCCCCTTGACTAACTTCCCTGTTAAAATCCCCCATACATTTCTGATTGTCCTGTTCTTCTTGACTTCTTCCTGGTGAAATGTCAACATTATTCTTTTTCCCTTTATTACTACTTCTTAGAGATTGATCTGCAATGTTTTCAGGATGACTGCTGGTACTATAGTCTTTTCCTATTGGTGAGTTACTGCCCCTGGAAGATAACGGAGGACTGCTGCGATTTTGATTTTGCTCTAACCTTGCTTCCTCATCCTGTTGATTCAGAAGACGCCGCCCTCTAGGGACATACCTCTGCACTTCAGGTTTCTTTTTCCTTTGTCTGAGAAAAAATATACATACGTGTAATTTCTCTACCTTGTTAAATAACAGGAGTTTCTTTCGAGATATTGAATGACTATTTAACATTTACATCAAAAACAACTGTCAAAATGAAAGTTGACTCAACTTTCAGCAACTTTTTATAACATCCTTTTTTTCAAATGTAGTAATGTTACCTATTTACTCCTGCTGGGGAAACATTATCATTTTCTTTGGGACTTTGGTCTCTTGTGGTTTCTTTAACCAGTGAACTGTTATTGACCCCTTGACCTCCATGACGACCTCTGCCCCTTCCCCTGGATGACTGAGGTCTAGGGGCAGACATGAACCACAATTCCTCCTGATTTATTCTTAAAACAAATATAAACATCATTTTTTATATTGACTTGACCAATTCTAAATACAAAATTTGGCTTATATGGACAATCAACAATCAAAACACACATTTGCATAATTGTCATCTATAAGGCCTTTTTTTTTTTATCCAGAACACATTATTCTTTACAGAGAAATTCATTTTATCATTTTTATTCTAAACTAGGATACAGAAAAAACACCTGATTAAGGATTGAATGATGATATGTGGCATCTCATGATGCTGTTATTTGCAAGAGGTGTGTGGTTACAAACTTAAGGTAGTTTTTTTTTTTTTTTTTTTTTTTTTTGCATTTATGTGGAAAATTTGCATGCAAGGTAAATGCAATTTTACAAATCCATATAATAGTGAGTGTATATATATATATATATTTATACATGTATATATATATATCCTTAACAATCTGTTTTCCACTAATTTACAATTGGCAAATGTCTCTGAAGTCTGAATACCAACCTTTGGACTTTTGTCACAACAGTTCTCCGAGTGTCTCCTTGTCCAATGGAAAAACTGTGGAGTTCTGGGAATCCCTCTATAGTTTTGTGAATCAGAAATCTTTGATAACTGTTGACAGCTGGAAATAACAGGACTCTATAGGAACAGAAAAGCAAAGCTTACATCAGATTTATTCATTACTGCAAATACTTTAAAAGTAATATTTTTAGTCTAATATATACATGTAACTATTGTAGGACATGAAATCTGAGAGATCTATAAAATAAAATCCTATTTTATTGTTAATTTATTCCATTACAATTATAAATAATAACATGATTACTTTTAATGTGTAATCACGTTTTAACATACAATTGAACTTCGGTATGTCGAACACGGATATCTCGAATACAATGGATATGTCAAAGTGATTGGAAAGTTCCAAGTCCTTTTTCTTTAAGTATTTCACCCTCAATGTCTCGAACCCATGGACATCTTGAACATGTTAAAGTAATTAAGTTTTTTTCTCGGTCCCATCTAGTTTGAGATAACGAGGTTTGACTATATATGTTTTACTTGGCATACTTGGTAAGCCTGTTCCATACAGCAACATGGTTATTAGAATCAATCAAAAGAATGCAATTGAAATCTTTTATTAAATGATTACAAGTTTACAAATTTAACAAAAAATCTTTTTCCAAATAGCTACATAGTTTCAATTACATCCACTTCTTTCTGTTTATCTAAAAATTTGAATATAGGCTGTACATTAAAACTGTCTAAAAGTAAATTATTTTGTGTTCTTATTCACTTTTTCTTGGTGTTGCCTTTAATATTTTTGTGGTCAGCTGACCTTAAGGACATCTTTATTTTTTTTTAAATTTATAGCTGTGCAAGCTGCATGAGCCTATCAAAATTTTGCAGCTGAATGAATTGGCACACCCATGTGGATACACAATTCTGACTACAAATCAAGTTTTCCATTAATCCCTGTCAGTTTATGATGTGGTGGACTATCAGAATTAAGCACATGTAGTTACCTTTTCTTAGATTTTGGTGTCCTGGAAGAAAAAGACTCAATTTGTGATGTCACTTCCTGCACAAATGCTCTATCACTAGAAGTCAAGTAGCGATCTTCAAAGAAAGGATCCAGAGTGTATCAATGTTGCCGTAGATCTGAATGATGGATTGATATAAATTTACAATACTAACTAAACAGGAATTTACCAGTTTACATTTACAAAAAGTACAGAGGAATCATAACCATCAAAACAATTTGTACAAGAATTCAAGACCTATAAAAATATTAAACGCTTATGTGAAATAAATACCTATAACATAAGAGAGTAGAGAAGAGGAAAGAAAGTTGTTGAACTTAGATTACCGAGAAACCGTTACCGTTACTTTTGAAAGCAAGATATTTTTCGTTTGTAGATTTTAGTTTTACGCTAAATAGGCCCCTATATCATTTTCAACACAATACATAGAAATATATTGAATAAATATTGATCATTATGTAAGTCATGATGTAAAAATTAGTAAAACATCGTTCTTTACATTAATTTCTGTTCCTGAATAGAATATTCACTTTCGTCTTTCGTCGAATTCGTGAATTGGACGTGATTCAAAACATCCGGAAATTGTAACCTACAAAGTCTTGCAGATAGGAATTCTTATTCCCGGAATAAAACTGAAGCATGCATATATGTTCCCGAGTACCCAAACTCCATCACCATATATATAAAGAGAAATGCGATCACGGACCGTTACAGATGTTCCCCAAACGCTCCCCAACTCCCTTTTGGTGACTTTTTTCCTGTAAGCTAGTTCATTAAATAAGGCAATGAAGTATAATGGTCATTTTTTGCATTTCACGCGCGCGCACGTGCATGCATGTGCAGGATGATCATGTCATCTCGTCTATACTATATATGCATCTTTATATTCTCAGTTTCAAAACATTTCATCAAAAAATATATAAGTTCCGGCTAAATCAAGCATATTGGTCATCTTAGCATTGCGCGCACGCGCACATGCATGCATGTTCATAATGTGACCATGCCATTTTGTGTACACTTATAATATGTCTGTTAATTCATAGTATCAAAGCTTTTCATCAAAAAATATAAAAGTTACGGCCACAAGCCTTTTGAATATAGATAATTACATGACAAATAAAAATTTTGATTAAAAAATAAGGTATAATTTTAAAACACGTATGGGGATATTAATACGTGTTGGTCACATACTCAAATCCCATATGATGGTAGATTTCCAGTGGCGGATCCAGGAATTTCATAACGGGGGGGGGGGGGGGCGCAGTAGAAAGCGGGGGGGGGGGGGTCAGGGGTCTGCATGAAGCCCCCAGTGGGTCTAGGGCAAAGCCCTGGTGGGGGTCCAGGGCGAAGCTGACGCATTCTTACAAATAAGATCTAGATGTTTTTTCCCTTGATTTTGGATAATGGACATATAAGTTCTACATAAAAAAAATTCAAACGGGGGGGGGGGGGGGGGGGAGGGGTGCGCCCGGCGCGCCGGCCCTGGATCCGTCTTTGATTTCAGTCATTTTTGAAAGGGGCAGACAGAAATAAATTTGACAAATTACCTGAAGATAAAAAACTTTGTAAAGCAAAAAAAATGCTTGGGGGATTGAAAATTGTCAAAAACTATTACGTGGGTTGGGAGGAGGGGGGGGGGGCGGGGAGGTTCCAACTTCTTTCAGGAACAAATCAAACTTTTATTCATACATTACCACATTATCCTGATCTGACTAACTGCAAAAAAGTGTCGAAGATTCGGGGGTATATAGTTTTTGCCCTGTCTGCCTGTTTGTTTGTCTGTTTGTCCACAAAAACTTTAATCTTGCCCATAACTTTTGATTGGTTGGAGCTATTGCTTTCATATTTCACATGTGTATTCCTTGTGACAAGACCTTCCTTTGGGCACGAACATATTTGACCTCTTGACCTTATAGTTTGACCCACTTTTGCAAAAATTTACCCAACTTTTACAGGTCGAGGAATCTACCTTATATGGATATTGTTGTCGTTGCGCAAGGCGGTGCTTACCGCGAACATGGCAATGAATGAGCAGAAAAGCGTGTTGGTCTACTATATGTTTACATTGATTTTTTATTAAATCAAACACGTGGTTCAGGCAAATTTACGACACGATTTCAAATGACTGCGGGAAAGTCAACTAATGATTATTTTCTACATTTTTGCTAAAAATAGGAAGATTAGGTACTAATTAAGATTTCCCATGCTCACATTAACAAACAAAGCCAATTTTCCGTGTTAAACAGTACGTTGAAATACCGCTCACAAAGTCCTTACAAGTAAGAAGAATCCAGTTTTTATAACTTGAGATTCGTACATTTGCCATGCTATTGGTGTTATTCGTCGTAGCTTAGTAATTTGTTGACAAGAAATTAAAAGTTAATGCATTTAAAAACATAAGTTTATTGCTGCAGGACATGTACCTTGGCCATAGTAGCTAAATTATATATGAAAGTAGTATACTTAGTAAACAAAGCATCTCTAAACCATTTCAAACTTTAAATGGCCATCGAAGGTCATTCATACATGACATTACGTGAGTACACCTCAGAGTAGATTGGTTTGGACGATGGAATACACGTGAAAATTGTATTCACTGACAGTACAGCACGGGAATACAGGCAATTGTCCACAAATGACTTATACAATGGCAGTGGCGGATTTGAGGGGGGGGGGCGCAACCGGCGCTTGCCCCCCTCTAAAATCGTCAAAGTTAGCGTAAGTCATAGTTTCGTCGAGAAAATGTAAAAATATCTACTCGGTAGACCTCATTTTTACCCTACAAAATCTCTAGAATCCAGGAACCAGACCCCCTGCCTACTTTTTGCGCCCCCTAACTTCAATTCCTGGATTCGCGCCTGCATGGAGTGGAGAATACCCCAAATTTTACCGTTGTAACACAATAGTTAGAAAATGTGAACTTGGAATTAGTAGATAATGATGTACATATTGCATTAAGTGTGTAAAATACTTGAAAAAATGCATAATGTCTTTCCGAGAGCGATTAGAAAAACTGTCCTTTTCTAAACGTAGTATATTTTGATAGTCACCCATAATGCAGATCGACTCATTTAGTTGAATGGTCGGTTTGTCAGTAACGTTGGTACCTCATTTGGCCTTTCCATGGGTGTAAATATTTTTGACCTTTTGATCTTTACCTAAGAGTTTGACCCACTTTTAAAAAACTTTAACCTTGGTCATAACTTTTGAACATTTAGTAATAGGACTTTCAAATTTCACAGGTATTTTCCTTGTGACAAGGCCTTCCTTTCGATACCAACAACTTTGACCTTTTGACCTTGGAGTTTGACCTACTTCTTAAAAACTTTAACCTTGGCTATAACTTTTGAACAGTTGACGCTAAGGCTTTTATATCTTGTATGTGTATTTCTTATGAAAAGGTCTTCCCATGCGTACCATTAACTTTGACCCTTTGACCTTGAACTTGGAATATGACCCATTTTTAAAAAACATTAGCCTTGACCTTAACTTTTGAATGGTTGGTGCTTGGGCTTTCATATTTACTAGGTGTATCCATTGACACCAGTCCTTTCTTTGGGTAACAACATTTTTGATCTCTTGACCTTGACCTTGGAGTTAACTTGCATTTGAGAAACTTAAACCTTCGCTATAAGCTGCCATACGGGGGTATCAGTGTTTCACAAACTCATCTTGTTATTTATATTTTGAAAAGATTGACAAAAAATTAGAAATTTATTATGTTCCTGTATAGGTTACGATGGAAAAACTTTGTGTGAACTAACATCAACTTTCTTGGTTTCATTTGTTAATCAATACTTACAAGTATTAGTGTGTGAAATGGGTATAAGAATAAATGATTATAAAAGCAGAGTTTAAAGAAAGAAAGAAAATGAACAAGTTACAATTCAAAGAAAGAGCAACAGGAATTTTGAGTCAAAACAATTGTCGGGTTCTGTTGGCTTGCAGAACGTGACCGATTGTAAACTAAATGTTTTCATTGTAGAAAAAGAAGTATGTCCTTTTTTTCTCCAATTGCGTCCTTGACCATGACGGATACATTGACGACATGTTCTTTGAGTCGATAATAAAGCATGTGTTAAACAGCATGAACGGGACTGACTATTTTTCGAATTAGTATTTACAAAGATATTCAATTAACTAGATTGTATCATTAGTCTAACATCTCATTGCCCAGTGACCTTGATATAATGAGATATGTCCTTAAGACATGGTAATGACACATCTTTGGGTCATGCATCAAAAGCAACATACTAAGAATTCATTCCACTCAAAGGTTCATATGTTATAACCTTGACACAATTTCAATACATGCATAACCCCGCTTCCCTTTCACGTTGATCTTAGAGATATGACCTTGATTCAAAACCTACTTTGTGTTATCAAAAGTAACTTGACAAACCTAAGTTTGAATTTATTGCAGTCAAGAATTATGGCACGGACACGAGCTCAATATTCTATTACTTAATGACCTTGATGTAAAATCTTGTGAAGATAATAAGAGCATTGGTCTTAGCAATTGGCAACAACATACTAAAGTTTGATTTTTGAAAATATTCTAATCAATGATTCAATGGCCATGACCAAAACACAGTTTTGTGAAAGACAGAAAATCATACAAAACAAAAAATTCTCCTTCCCTATGAAGGGAACATAAAAAATTAGATCTTACATATTGTGACACCATAAATTTAAATATGTACTGATATATCTTAAATTGACAGTGGCTGCAGCTTTTCATTTAATGATTTATAGTTAAAAAAAGATCAAAAACTTTCCTATTCTCGCAAAGCTTATCAAATCATCTGCTCAAGTCACAGGTATATGAATACAAAATCTGGTGCATTTTGACTAAAAGGGCCCATAAATTAGAGATAGTGTTAACGTCTTTGTAGAATTATAGGAGGGATTCAAAACATGTTTTCAGAAATTTTAGTTTTTTTTAACGCTACTAACAGCTCTAAGTGTCGGTGGGGATGACAAATATCAAGATGATTTAATTCTAAATATCCTTCAGGAACTTTCATATTTAAAAAAACGAAGTCTCCACTCTGAAGGTAAAGCTTGAATCCTCTGAAAGAGGAAGCCAGTGTTCCAACATCGATGCCCATAGCAGTAAGTAAATTCTGTTCGTGTTAGCCCATATATTTATCAATCTCTAGTCCAAACATACATCTAGGTAATCAAAGATTACAGAGTTCACCTCAACGAATGTTATCTTTAAGTAAGGGAAAGTCCCACACTAACTAATAATCTAGTAGTGTGCATCCCTAGATACAACATTTATGCAATTTTGGTCCGATAGGGCTTGCAGGAACTTGGGAATGGACTTAATCTTAAAAAGGAAGCCCACATTAAACTAGCCACTCACCCAGAAAATGTAAGTCAAATCCAGCATGTAAAGAAAGTTTGAGAGTGTATGTTCATCCCTGGATGCATCATCCCTGCAAGTTTGGTCTTGGTAGATAGGTTCAGATAGGACTTATAGTTTCTTGGTGATGGACCTCATCCAAAAACCTTAACCTAGTAACCAATCTGAAAAATGTAGGTCAAATCACGCATCCAAAACAACACGGTAGTGTGCATCAATAAATGTATCTTCAATACAAAGTTGGTTAGCATAGGCATAGGGCTTATAGTCACTTTAGAATGAACCTACTCCAAAATCTTTAACCTGGTCAATCATCTGGAAAATGTAGGTCAGATTCAGCATCCGGAGCAAGTCAAGTAGTATGCGTGCATCCTAAGATGTATCATTCAAGCAAGTTTGGTCAACACAGGGCTTATAGTTACTTCAGAATGAACCTGCTCCAAAAGCTTTAACCCGATCACTCAACCGGAAAATTAGATCAGATCCAGTATTCAAACAAGCCTGGCATCATCCATGCAAATTTGGTCAGTATAGGGCTTATAGTTACCTGGCAACAGACCTGCTCCTAACACTTTCACCCTGCTCCAAAAGCTTTAACCTGCTCCAAAAACTTTAACCTGCTTAAAAACATTATTCTGGTCATTCTTTAGCTGAAATTGCAGCATCTGAAATCTTGACTGGTACAGTGAAACATATTAGAAGCATTGTCCATGCATAGATTAATTATGTAGGGCATAGAAGTGCTTGAAAAGACCATTAAACTGAGATGCTGTATTACAAAGAGTTCCCTCCAACTTTGTTGAAGTGAGTTAAAATGGAAATCAAGCACAAATTACTGGTTACAACCAGGACAATTAACAAGATAATTTTGATAATATTCACTCCTTTGTTAATTCTTCGTTATCAAAACTAAATTTATATTGATGACTAGTATTCCGATTCGAGAATTTCTAATCTTAAAGTGCTATCAAGTATACTGTACCAAGTATAATGTACTTAAAATCATTTTACGAATATGTTTTATTAAAACTGAAAATATCTTTAACATGTCTTTCTAAACAAATTGTGTCACTGTTAACAGGTTAAAATATAGTATATTTAACACTATATTTCAGGAGAAAAACGAAATGTTCCTCAAGAACAACAGTCACAAGTCGCCTTCCATGCTCGTCTTTCACAGAATCAAAACAATCTTGGACTGCATCAAGCTATCCACTTTGATAAAGTTCTTCTGAACGAGGGCAATGGCTATTCGGTTCATGCTGGGGAATTTGTTGCACCAGTTCCTGGTTTGTACGTGTTTTCCTGGTCACTTGCAAGTGGAGATTAATATGAATTTGTTCAGAACAGTGTCGTCTTGTTTTATTCTATAAGTGATGCAGCCCAACATAATGATTGGGCCGTGTCTTCAGGAACTGCTGTAACACGTATGAACTCAGGAGACCGTGTGTGGATCAGAGTTTCTGATATGCTTTCGTGTTCTCACACCATTTTTGGAGCTGATTTCGGTACTTCGTCCTTTACCGGTTTCCTGTTACATTAAAATTGTCCACGTTTACACATGCCACCCTATACCGGCAATAAAAAAATGTCTCAGCTCACGCACACTTGAATTCCCACATACCCTCATAAACATTTTACGTAATTTGGTTTCTAACTCATATTTTGGTGCAAAGCAGGATCCTTTCGTAAAACCTCAGATAAAATGTATGTTTGTAAAAGTATTAATTTCAGCTAAGACTTTCAATATATATCTATATCCTGTTTTAGATTAAAATAGTAAGAATATTCAAGCATTCTTTTTTTTAATCTGGTAAATTTCATCTGCATAGTTATTTCTAAGATCAAATCGCAATAAGCAATACTGACATTTACAAACATTCAACAATATATCCGATTAAAAATCAATAAATAACCGGCCAACTTTCAATATACATGTTTTTTCTTTTTAGTTTGAAAGAATCGCAATAAATTGTAATGATTATAGCTTTGACACGAAGAATTATTTCTAATTCTTTTGTTAAATTTAGTTAAACATCCTGATACAAATTACACTATCCCTATCCATACGTCTATATACATAGTAGCTCAGTAAATAACTACAGACTCTTCTGTCTTTAACAATATGAGAAAACTCAGGAAGCTCTGTCTTATCTATACTAATGTAACAAAATTATTTTTGAATAAAATTGATGGTATCATATTATAATATCCCTTGTAGTAACATTGTGCAATTCCTAAGTTGACCATATTTGCATGGAAGGTGTCAAAATGGGATACAGTTAAAAAAATTTAAACCCCCCCAAGCGTTTATCAGCGATATGCATACATAAATGTCATTCTTGACAGTAGCTTCTAGGTTTTTAAGTGCCCCATTTGGAAGAATTAAAAAGTATATATACAATATATATATATATATATATATATATATATATATATATATATATATATATATATATATATATATATATATATATATAGATATATCCTTGTCATATTAAACGACGAAGACGTACCACGAGAAAGAAAAATGTACTTTGGCAAGGGTGCATAATCAATGCTTTGTTGAGGATCCGATGGGTACTGACAAAGATAATTAAAAAGATTAAAATTTAATTTTAAAAACTGTTGAAATTGAAAAATTTATTCAATTCGCAAAAATTAGCGAATTGAATTTGCCTTTTATTTACATTATGTAAATATATCCAAGCAGCTTCAGCGAAAATATTATGACTATTCTATTACCAAACCGCTTAAGAGTTTTAAAACACTCTTCCTCATCATAATGAGTTTTTGCTTTCCTGAACAATGTCTCGATTAACAATTATACCTGCTTGTCTATTTCGTTATCTGGACATTTTCTTTTAGTGATACCTACAAGTAAAACAGAGAGAAATATGATTTGAAGTATTGCTATTTCTCCTTTGGATATAAGAATGACCTATCTCACAGGTGTTCAGTCACTATAAAGTAGCTGAACATACCTGTGACATGTTGTAAGGTGCTATATACTGCTTGCTGATCAGTGCTAGAGACTGGAAGGTTAAAGTGGTGGAGCTTTTTATACAAGTATTCTTACACAGATTTTATAAGCAGGTTTCAAAAATATGTCAAAAGCATAGCCATAACAATAGACAACTACCAGTCATTATGCTTCACGTTCCACCATTGCGATGGAAAAAATAATCAACTCAGTTCTAAGTCTGAAAATTCGCAGTCTAATCAAAGTTTTGACCTCAAGATATTGAATGACATAATTTTTGCCACATGCAAAATTATCACATTTGATAAAAATGATTTGCTTTTGAAATTTTGGCAAATAGGTTTGAAATCTATTATATGTAGGTTCCTGTATAAGGAATGATGAGACAATTTTTTTTTGAACTCGCACAAACTTTCTAGGTTTCATTAAGTTTTGTTATTCAAAACTTATAAGTATTGCTGTATGAGATGGGAATAAGGCAATTCAGTCATTAGAGATAGCAAATCATCCTTATCAGAAAGTATTCTCAGTTTGTACGAATCCGTTATAAATACTTTATCTTTCGATTGTTAACGTTTCGACTACAAAATCCTCACAAATCTGAGAAAACAACCAGTTAGTATAGAATTCTTTGGGCAACTATAGGTAATAGGTCGTGGTAACATGCTTTCAAGTATTTTTGTTTGCTTGGCACTACAGACAGCTTGTTTTGTTAGCGCTAATGACAATTATCAGGAAGTGCTACAAAGACTCTCAAATTTAGAAAAAGAAGTCTCTTTTCTGAGAGAAAAATTAAAATCCTGTCAAGGAGGAAGCCAAATCTCCGATGTCATTGACCAAAGCAGTGAGTATATGAATTGGTTAAAATGATTTGCCAATATGCTCGAGGAATAATTAATTTCCATAATGACAGAAATTATGCCAAGTATTCTTATTTCAGTCATTTTTACGGGGGGTCCAGTAGTGCAAACCAAAACTAAGTAAATAAACAAACGAAAATTTTAAATAAAATAGAAATTATTAAATATTTAAATAAAAAAAAAGAAATTACAAAATAAAAAACCGAAAAGAATATTCTTTAAATGACACAACAACGCATTATCAATTTCTTTATTATCTCCTTTTGAAAAAGTACTCCTCATTTGAACCAAATTGAATCTCCGTTATAAGTAAAACTTTATTTAGTTTCGGCTTTTAATCTTGTAATTTCGTTTTTTTTTATATTTAATAATATCGTTTTTTATTTAGTTTTGCTTTCCTCTATCGGCCTTTTCTACATTTTAGTATTATGAGATTATAATTGACACTTACAGTGGACATAAAGCTGTCTTGCTCAAATAGTTTATTGGATGTACGTACATTGTATATCTGACATTGGTGGCGAAAAACCAACCCACTAAATCAAAACCAGTTCTGTTTTTAATTACAACAAAAGATAGATTGTGTGCTTCTTACAGTGTGGTAACGATTATTTTAAACAAAAATCAATTATTCCAGGAAAAAAACGCATTGTACCTCAAGGACAACAGTCACAAGTCGCCTTCCATGCTCATCTTTCACAGAATCAAATCAATCTTGGAGTGCATCAAGCCATCCACTTCGACAAAGTTCTTCTGAACGAGGGCAATGGCTATTCTGTGCATGCTGGGGAGTTTGTGGCACCAATTTCTGGTCTGTATGTCTTCGCATGGTCTATTGCAAGCGGAGACAGAAGTTGCATGAAATATGAATTTGTTCACAACAGCGCCGTTTTAACATATTCTATAAGTGATGCACATGATCACGACGATTGGGCAGTGTCTTCAGGAACTGCTGTCACACGTATGAATTCTGGAGACCGTGTGTGGATCAGAGTTTCTGATATGCTTCCATGTTCTCACACCATTTTTGGAGTTGGTCTCGGTACTTCGTCTTTTTCCGGTTTCTTGTTACATTAACATTTACACAAGTTTACAGATGCCATAAAACATTTGTTATACATGTACCAGGAATAAACAAGATGTGTTTGTGAAACACTGATGCCCCTGTATGGCAACTCATATCAAAGGTTAAACTTTCTAAACTGCAAATCAAATATGTTGGTACCCAAAGTTAGATCTTGTCTCGAGGAATATAACTGTGAAATATGAAAGCCCCAAAAGCAAATAGATATAGAAAAAGTTAAAGTTTTTCAAAAGTAAGTCAATATCAAGGTCAAGTTCAAATGGTCAAAATTAATGGTGCCCAAGGAAAGGCCTTCTCACAAGAAATACACATGCGAAATATGAAAGCCCTAGCACCAACCATTCAAAAGTTATGGCCAAGGTTAAAGTCTTTCAAAAATAGGTCAAATTTCAAATTCCCTGGGTCAAAGTTGTTGTTCTTGTCACAAGGAGTACATATGTGAAGTATGAAAGTCCTACTACCAACTATTCAAACGTAATTGCCAAGGTTAAAGTTTTACAAAAGTAGGAAAACTCCAAGGTCAACGTCAAAGGGCTATAATTGTTGGCATCCAAAAGAAGGATTTGTCACAATGAATACACAAGTAAAACATGAAAGCCCTAAAACCAACTGTTCAAAAAGCTATGGACAAGGTTAAGTTTTCCAAAAGTAGGCCAAATTCCAAGGTCAATGTCAAAGGGTCAAAGTTGTTTGTTTCCAAAGGAAGGTCTTGTCACAAGGATTACATATGTGAAGTATGAAAGCCCTAGCACCAACCGTTCGAAGGTTATGGCCAGGGTTAAAGTTTCTCAAAATTAGGTCAAAGTCCTAGGTCAAAGGGTCAAATATACCCAAAGAAAGATCTTTTCACAAGGAATATACATGTGAAACATGAAAGCCATAGCTCTAACCTATCAAAAGTTATGAGCAATGTTTAAGTTTTTGCGTACAAATAGACAGACGGACGGACAGGACAAAAACAATATACACCCGAATCTTCGATACGGGGGCATAAAAAATTGGCTCTTGCCGTAATACATTTGTTCAACTAGCAACAGCTTCTGAAATAAGAAAGTTTCTTGCAGAAAATGGACATTATTGAAGCGAACGACAGTGTTGTCTAGGTCAGTAATTCTTGCTATAGCCGACCGAAGTTGTGGCTGAGGCTGGGTCAGCATTCTGCATGTACTGTATTACTGGGGTGGGCAGGGTAATATTTACCAGAAACATTAATAAAATAAATACAGTCATCTATGTTTCTCCAATAAAGAAATTAACAATTCAATTTGAATGATTCTCATTTTATGTGGAATATGTTTAATGGAATATATAAATCATTCTGATTAAAATCAAACCTTTATTTTGATTGTCGCATGAAGGATGAAGAAACTCAATATGAGGTCACATGTGGTATCATGGTTATATGACTTAAGTGATGCTTCATAAATTATGTAATGAAAATTGTTTCAGCTCTGCACACTTTTAAATGTAAATATACATAAGATTCTATTATCGATTATAAATAAACTATAAGCTTTGAAATTCCCAACCCACCTCACATACATTTTCTTCATTTAATGTCAAGTAATTTTCTTGAGTAGATAGTCGGATCCTTTAAGGATAAGGGTTTCACATGACATTTTTTAATGTACATTTTTAAATGGTCAGAAATCGTGAAAATGAATCCCAAACATATTAAGTTTTGAATATCCAGTCAAGTACAGACATATCCCAGATAGCAAGCTAACATTGGGCCAACGTTGGGCCAACGTCATCGCTTACATTGGGCCAATGTTGGCAAACGACATTGGCCCAATGTAAGTTTGCTCATCGGCCCAATGTTGGCCCGATATGTTGGGCCAACGTTGGCCCAATGTAAAGTGTGATTCTACAGATATTGGACCAACATTGAGCCAACATTGGTCCGATGAATGCGACATTGGGTCAATGTTGGGCCAACGTCATTAATTACATTGGGCCAATGTTGGCAAATGACATTGGCCCAATGTCAGTTTGCTCATCGGTCCAATGTTGGCCCGATATATTGAACCAACATTAGCCTAATGTGTAATCATACACACATTAAATTGTTACAAATCTGCAAATGAACTAATCCGATCGTCTCTACAATCAGAAAAAAATCTACCTCCAATCCTATGCTTGAAAATACAAGTTAGTTAAAATAAATAAAAAATAATATCAGGCTTGTTTAACTTCTTATATTTAATCAGAACAAAATAAATTATTAGTGATGGAATTAATTGTTTCTACACAAGGGCATTAAGCAAATGAAAGTATAAAATAACAAATGTATTTTGAATATAATTAAAACAATAAATAATTTTGCCCTTTTTAAAGATTAAAATATGTATCTAGAATTATTTTCCAACCTTTTCCACTTATTGTTACTATATACACTTTTTTTTTTCGCAAATTCACTCGTTAACAGGTTAATAACCAATCACTGTCCTCTGTTTCATTTTTGAACGCATTTCCGTCTTTCTTTCCCTGTCCTCATTCTTCCTTCATGATCACATGCAGTGGAATTGCTAATTTCCATAGGAATTTATTTGGCACACAAGCAGTTAGTTCGAACAGCTCCTTCAAATAAATGTTAAATCCATTTATCAAATCTCAAAATAAAGAGAAATTCTGTAAACTAAAAGTAAAGTCGTACTTAAACGTTCACAGTAATTTAATTATTCCTTGCATTAGAAACTATTAATACAATGGATATTTTAATTATTTTTGTATTCTTTTTAAAATTAGTAATATTATAATATTTTTCTACATTTAGTAGCAATGTACGACTTTAGCATTGGGGGGGGGGGGACTGAGCACGTATTTTTATTACTTACTTTTTTAAATCCCCATCATCTTTGAAAAAGCTGGTTTTCCTCATTTGCCCATCAATGGAATTCCTTGCAATATTGTTAGAGAACATTGGCAGCAAATACTTTCCTCTTTATTCGCCAAGTTATTTCCACCAATTAAATAGAATGAGAATTTTAATCTATAAAGAGATTTGCTTTCCATTAAAGCACCAAGTAATAACTCCTTGATTTCTTTTCTTAACACTTGGTAGAAAATATGACAGAATATGTCTAAATGATTATGAATTAAACTGACCCAGCCAAACTTTCATAGATATTCAAAAAAATAAAATTTATGAATCCAAATGTAGTTGGAATGTGGACATGATTATGTATTTTCTTTTAATTGTTACAGTCACGGTTGATGCACTTTATATACCATTTTTCAAAAATTAAGCTCAAGAGCTCTTAACCGTGTACAAATTAGATTTTAATGGTAACAATGATACGTTTTATTTTATGATTTATACATCATGCAGACAAGGCAGTGATTAGCAACTGAAGTAGTTACATAAAACTTAAGCATAAGCTTAGAAAAAAGATAAAGATTGCATTTAGCATGTTTAGATAAACAAACTTTGCATTTTGTGCATTAAAATCTGAAATAATTTGAGGTAATGGTACTTACATTTCTGTATATGTGAAATGTCTTGACACAGCTCAAAAAATCCATACAAAGAACACACATTTCAAATTTAAGCTTTCTTTTTAACATAACACCTTCAACGGTCTTCTGTGGGAAACCTCAGTGATTATAATGTTGGGTGTACTAAAAAGATGCAGATTTGACCATCCCAGATGGAGATCCTATCAGATATCACGATTACCATAGAAACTGGCCAGTCTCACGCTGTGAAAACCCCTGTCCTAATTGCTTGCTCAGAAAATGTGTTCTTATCTTGGAATTTGCTCCTTAAATCCAACACTTTAGAAAATTATGTAATGGGAGTCTTTATATAGCGTGTTCCTTTTATATTTTCATTTTATTTTTTTGACATACAAGTTAATTTATATTTATGCATAATTGAATAAATTTTTATGTGATTCTCAAAAACATTTAATTTATTATTACGTTTAAAAATTTAAACATATTTTACGTTAAATAACTTGATACATCAACATGCATGTTTATTAAGAACATACGGTATGTGTAACATTAAATACATATAATTAACTATTTTTTTATCTTTTACTTTCACCCTCTCTCCCTCTCGTTGTCTTTGTCCGATTATATAAAGAACACTCCACCCTGTTCCCTGAATTCTGACTTCACCCCAACGTTGGCTCAACGTTGTCTACCCAACAAAATGTATCAAAATAGGGACGTAATTCACAATGTTGGCCCAACGTTGGGCCAACGTTGTACTCCCAACAAACTTCGTCAACTTAGTGGTGACAAGATAACAACAGTGGCCCAACGTTGGGCCAACGTTGTGTCCCCAATCAACCTCGGCTTCTGAGTAAAATAGTGTTATGTTGACATTGGCCAAACGTTGTACTCCCAACAAACTCTGTCAACTTAGTGGTGACAAGCTAACAACAGTGGCCCAATGTTGGGCCAACGTTGTGTCCCCAACCAACCTCGGCTTCTGAGTAAAATAGTATTATGTTGACATTGGCCCAACGTCGGGCCAACGTTGTACACCCAACGCCAATCATCGGCCAACGGTCCAACCATTAGCCAACGTTGGGCCAACGTAGTCATGCTATCTGGGATTTCAGTAAAATTTTGAATAATTCTAAAGGACAATTCCTGCACAATGTGTGACTATTTAAAGCAGATTTTGTATATTTTTCTTTCCAAATGTTATCGCTTGTTTACTCCAAATTCTGACCAAGTTTAAATAAAAAGAACAATATTTATCCATATTGAAAAAAATCCCATTTCCAATTTATACACTATATACAATTTATACCGTTGCAAATGATACCCATATTATACAGTTAAAGAGAGGATTTTCGTTAATTCGTCCGATTTGAATAGGTTCTTTGCAAAGCAAATTTAGGTTATTTAGGGGAGTTTGTCGGTCAGACCGCGGATCATGAAGAATACTTAACATAGGGCAAAATATGTACATGTATATTAATATGCTGAAATGATTTAGAAGTCAAATAGTCCAAAATAAAAATGCCGTGCAACA